ATCGAATGCAAAAGTGTATCGATCATCTCGGGGAATATTTTGAAAAACAATAAAACCATTTTCGACAAAAAAACAACTGTGTTATATATGTTTTTAAAAAAAATTATGGAGCAACCCTCGTAACTCAAGATGATTCATTTGTACCATATTGTAATGAATCAACTTTGACAAATGAAACGGCAATTGAAGGAATGCATTTTTGTCCGCATTTAATTCAGCTGAAACTCGGTGAAGTCGTTGACTTTTTACTATCTGATGTTACATGTAAGTTCTAACTCTCAAATCTCTGTACCGAATATTCACATATTTACATGTATATTGTTAAATCGAATAGATGAACTTGAAGACATCCATTCATTCCATTTTCATGGGTATGGATTTCAAATAATAGATATGGGAACACTTGAGCAATATAAAACAAACACAACATCTTACTACAATGACACTCATCCCCCAACTGTTAAGGATACAATTGGTGTTCCTATAGGCGGCTTTGTTCGAATTCGATTCCGAGCTTCAAATCCAGGATATTGGATGAGATTAATTGTACGGCATGAGATTAATTGTACGAGTCGGAGATAAATCTCAAATGAGATCAGCACCGGTCGGGTTTCCAAGTTGCAGTGACTATCTTCCACCAGTTATCGGAATGTGATTTTTCACTCCTCAATTGTGTGTTACAATTTTTTTAGTGAAACATGATTTTGCTCATTTTGACGTTTAAAACCAAGAAAATTGTGTGTGCCACTTTAAAAAAAAACTTTTATTCGGATACACTTATGCTTGTACGATTTCATTGAAGAATGCTCCGCGTCCAATTACACACAAAATACAAATCGATTACATTTTTACTTATAATCATCATTCTAAATAAAGATGGAAATTAACATACGGTTTTCTTACGGCAAACCAAAATAATCAACATCTTAAGTGAAATGACAAAAATCAGAATTAACTCAAATTGCATACAGTTTTTAACTCATATGTTTGTAGCGTATAATAAAGTAAATGAAGCAAAGTGAAAACACTGTATTTTTCAATTACAATTCATTGCACTTTGAAGTTTCAAAAAACAAAACAGCAAACAATAGGAAAACAATAAAATCAAATCTTTTAATGATGGAGAGTCATGGAAAATTTTAATCAAATTTTTGTAAGTTTTCCATTTATTATTTCGAGCTTCAATCATTGAGAAAACTATTATAATTGCATTTGCTGAAAATATTTAGAGTTTGTTTTTAACTAAAGAAGCTGTAAAATAGCCATTCTTCAACATCATATACGTTTTGACTCAATTTTATTTTTCAAGTTGATTTAAAAAAAA